TTGCTTAATGGGGAAGACACTGGGAATAGTCAGCATAATGAAAATAAACGATGCCTACTTCAATGAGTTAATTTTGAGGAAACATCTCTACCCAGATTCTTTCAACATTAAAAGAGAAAAAAAATTGAAATTTAACTCCATTACACAGAATGAAGGTTGAGGATATTCATATCAGTATGAAATTTCAACAAGAAAACTGCTTTTATGCCAGGACCAGAGCTGGGAACTGTAGACCTGCAGTGGTCTCTAGGAAAGTTCACCCAGGAAAAGTCAAACACCGTGCACCTGGTCCGGCACTTCAAGGTCAACTGTGCAACCTTGAAGAAATGAGCCTGCCTCTTTGGGTCTCAGTTTCCACATCTGCAGAATGAGCACCCTTCCAGCTCTAATGCTATGTGATCTCATGTTCTTTCACAGGAACAAGGAAAATGCAACTACAAAAGACCCACTAACGGCAACAGTTCCTAAGGGCATATCCTGTGCTGGGCATTATTCTAAGTGCTTCGAATGTACTGATTTGGACCATCATCTTACGAGGCAGGCACCATTCCATTTTACAAACAAGGAAATTGGGGCATGAAGAGGTTAAACAATTTGCCCAAGACAGCAGAGATGGAAAGAAACAAGGCCTAAATGACAATGCAGATCGATGCTCTTAACCATTACACTCTGCCTTTTTTAAACAGAGAAGTTACTGTGCGTATTTTTAATCATGCACTTTAATATCCAAAGGATGCTTCCAAATCCTTTCTTGCTAGCTCTCTAAATTGCAACCACTTTTCCTGCAGAAAATTACAGTTTTTCCTTGTCTTTTGTTTAAACCGCAGTTAAATTATAACTAAAATGACTTAGTGAATTACTGGTTGCAAATTACAAATACCTGCCCAGTAAGATTTTCCTGCATGTATGGAAATTCGCAGAAAGATGTATCTTTAGTTACCTCTACTCCAATTTCTATGAAAATGCACTATTCCCCTCCACCCCAAGAATTATGGGACTAGAGAAAGTATGCACAGCATTTCCTGCTCTTTAGAGGAGATGCCAGGCATACTTATCTGCCTTCTCTAGCTTTCCACCCCCCAAGAAAGGGGTGGATAGACTTCTGCTATTCACATCCTTTCACCCACTGAGAGCACCAAAATAACGTCTGGAATAATAAAGCCAATTTCCCTTTACAATGATTGGGTTTGTTTGTTTATTTATTTGTTGGTTTTGGAAGAATTAAGATTCTTTCTCCATGTATAGATAAAAGAAATACTCTGATATATATGTTCCTAGAAAAAAATACCTGATGTTGGAAAATTGAATTGTAATGAAATGTACTTGTGATTATTGTTTTAAAGATCTAGCACACCAAATCACAGTATAAGCAAGAAGGTAGATCATATTCTCAGTCAAAATCATACATATTATACATTTAGTAAAAATATATACTCATGCAGATTTCAGTATCATACTAAAAAAACAAAAACATCTATTTTATACCAATATCTGACTATTTAAAATTTACGGGAATAAAATTTTTCCATTCTAGTTTAAATATTGACTATTTATAATCATAAATTTTAGCCAAAACAAATCTGGCTGGAGCCAGCTGGTATTTTGACAGACTAAAAAATTTATGTCAACCTTTCCTACCAATGACAGGCAAATTTGGAGAAAAGCTGGCTGATTTTGGACATGATTAATGATAGAGAATTTAATTCTGAGAAACGGTTTTCATGCATTTAGTAATGAGAACCAGTCCTGGGAAATGAAGTGACGTCATGAGACTTAGAACTTAAAAGTTTGGTCTCATTAGTTCCAAGTTTTCTGAAGCCAAGTTAATTTTGCTCATCATGCCCAGTACTATCATTAAAATTTTCCATAATAAGCAACAGAAAATATTTTTTCATATTATTAAACAGAATATTAAAATTCAAGACACACTATCATGTGTTCTATTTACTTTGTTTCATGTCTAGATAATTCTTAACAAATATAAGGTTAAACCTACTTAACAGCTTTTTATACAGAAAGTAATTAAGCAAGATGGTGAAGTTTCAATTCAGAATTTATTTTTACAGTGTAATGAAAATACTTTGAGGATTACTTTAACTTCTTGGTCAATGACGCAGAATCATGGATTGATCATAGATTGAAATTAAGTGAAATCAGTTTGTGAATAATGTCAATTAGGGAGATAAGTCAAGACAAAGCTGACTTTTTTCTTTTTAATAGATATTTCAAATCAATTTATACAAAGGCAATTACATATAGCAAAAAATCACTATGTACTTGGATGACGCTAAGATCATTTTGTGATCCAAATGTTCTAGGAGACTGTGGATACACGTTAAGAAAATTGCCAGACTTTTTCTACTACAAGAACTGATGGAAGTCTAATGGAAATCAAAATCAAGTGGATTCACGGGAAAGAAGGAATCTGTCCAAGATTTCAGGCAGCAAAAATAGATCTGTCGAGCTCCTGAATTACATCAGAGCCTAGCTACTCTAGTAAAGCGCTGGAAGGTGGAAACCTGGGCCGGCCCCAAACAGCTATTTCCACGTCCCGAGGTAGATCTCTCGGAAGCCAAGCTCTGGTCAGTCTGAGATATGAAGTCACCCCACTCCATGTGAACACGGCTCCATGTCAACACTGTCCCATCTTCCTATACTCCCAGCCCAACCATCTTTGACTATCTGGATGGAGAACATTTTTTGGAGAGTGGAACTGCTGTTTATGATATTACTAAAAGCAAAATAGAAATGAGCTGTCGGGAGCTCAGAATTGCCCTATTCCTTCTTAAGACCCAGTTTCAGAGAATAGTGCCCATTCCCCCCAGGCATTCCCACTACCCACCTGGCCCTGCATCCCCAAACCCCACCTCAATGTAGCCTTTCCACCAGACCGAGTCACCCTCCCGGATTCTGGAATGTTTCTGCACAGCTCGTCACCTGGAAGGATTTACATAGTGTCAGACCATGGACCAGGTACAGCCAAGAATGGGATCCATTCTGCTGTCTCTGGACCTCACTCTAGGCTCCAGCAATGCCATGGGAAGTGCCCGCTTTGGGCTTAAAACGATTTAGTTGAATGCTAGGAAAGCATGGAAATTATTGATTTATCAAGGAAGAGTGAAGATGGTGGATAAACTTCTCAAAAATATACCACTCCAGTATTTGCACCAGGTGAAATGGAACATAAAGGAATGTGTAAAGAAACACGAACACAAAAATCAAAGACAAGTCAGAGAAGGGTGCTTTTAGCTCAACTACACTGAATCTCTGACCGACCCATTCAAGAACATCTATATCAATGAGGTTTAAGAAATTAGAGATCTGTATCATAGAAAACAAAGTGGTATGTGTAGGAGAGGTATGAACTTCACACTTGTCTTTAAATATATTAAAGGCGCTATAAATAGGCCATCACCTGTTCCTCCTTTTCCATTTAGAAGAGAACAAGCCAGAACAGGTTTGAATTACAGATTCAACAGAATCACGAGCAGCAACGTCCTGGCAGAACAGATTTCCAGAGGAAAACTGAAGTGTTTTCTTCCCTGCAAGTACAGGAATGAAAAGGAGATGCTTTCAGAGATCCTGCTTGCCAATGAGACTGAGCAGAAGTCTCTATCCAAGTCCTTTTTGGTCATAAAAGTGGTCAAGAGAGATAAAGATGCCATTCCAGGGAGCAGTGGAGGCTGGTTACTACCCTGAACTCAGACCCAGAATACAGGACCCAAAAGTGCTCTCTGCTCTATGTTTTACAGAATAAGAACCAGTTTGTGATCTGCGGCATGACGGTCTCCTATGTTCTATTTTTTATTCTTACCTCACTGAATTCCATCATAAGGCAGCACCTCTCCAGTAGCATGGGGGAAAAGAAAACTTGACTTTTTAAAGAACCCCATGATGATAACAAGTTTTCTCATGTATAATTTGAGCACCATCTGCTCAAGATAACAGAAACAAATTGCCAAATACCAAGGACAGCTATTTTGCACACTTGGTGGAATATAAGTCATCGTCCACTTTTTTGCTCAGTGGACACAAATAGAGGTGCATATTTATATTCTAAGCTAAAAAATATCATTCAGTGAAGACAACCCGAGATCAACCACTGACCAAAAGTGTTTCCCTGGATGATCGACGCCTGGCGCAAAATCTGCACATACATATCACAGGCCGTGCAAAAGTTTGAACCACACAAACAGAATGATCAGTAACAGGAAGTTTACCGCCATCTACAGATTTCCCCTCACTGCTCAAGGGAGCGAGCCGAGGATTTCTGCTTGAAAAATATAAATTAGCAAAATTGACATCAGCTGTTGAGTTGCATTACGCTTCTAGTGATGAAATCCACTTTAATAATCTGTACAAAACAGTAAACACGATTAACTCCCTCTCCAGAAACAGGAAAGCAATGGTCCATGGATGCTTGTTACTTATAGTCTCAGAGGGTGAAGATTCACAACAGGTCAACACCCCATCTCCTTCTGTCTATGGGACTAAACACGTACAGATGTAAAGGCAAAGATGTATAACAATATACATTTTTCGTTTTCCTCGCCATTAACCACTTTTCCACGGCAGGGTTTTTAGAGTAAAATGACGTCCAATTCAATCTAAAAAGCCAGCTCAGGGTCCGTGCAGTGGCCTCGCCAAGAACCCGCTGGTTGATTCGGATTGAGACCTATTTGAGCGGATGTTGCAGGCAGCAGCGCGGATGGAAAGCGTAGCCGAGTTTGCCAGCGGGTGCGCAGAGATGGAAAAACCACACGCCCTGTCCGTCCACCTGGTGAACACCCTGGCAACTTTATTTTGGGCAGAACCTTCCAAGGAAACTTTTCTCTTGCCCGCAGCCCTTGCCCTAGCCAGGCCGGCTGCGGGCAGGCAGGAGGAGCAGGGAGCTGCGGGCCGAGGGGCAGCCCTCGGCGGGACTCGGCTCAGCGGGGCAGGTCCCTCTCCTCTCGGGCAGCGGGGATGCGCGGGGTACATCCCGCAGGGAGGCCACTCACCAGCCGGAGCGCGAAGAAGACGGCGAGCAGGGCGAGGCAGGCGCCCATGACGATGAGCAGCAGGAAGACGATGAGCGGGTGCTGCTGGCTCATGCAGTAGTAGGACTCGTAGAGCCAGTCCCGGGACCGCTGCAGCCCGTCGCCGCCGCCCGCCGCCGCCTCGGCGCGGTCCCGCAGGTAGCGGCGGCGCCGCATC